CTAACCTAAGCCTGAATTATATTTTTTATTGTATAGATGTGCAATTAAAATTTGAGTCTGAGTGTTCAACATTCACGAAGACCTACAGCGTTTTTAAAATCTGATTTTGCTGTAAAATTTATATTTTTTCAATAATATGTGCAAACCCGTCTTCATGAATTCGTGAGATCAATTCATGCATTCTACTTTCTATTCAATGTTTTACAGAAACTAGCGAAATTTTATCGTTAACTGATATTCCAATTTTATTAAATTATTGTGAAAATGTTTGATACATCAAAATTTCTGGCAGATAAACATTCAACTCCAACCAGTCTGAGTCCAGTGGTGCCATTGTTAGTCATTCTTATGGAATCAACTCTGATCAATACATTCTTTATCGACTCAGGTTAAATCAACTCATAAATACTTAACTTAGGAATGATTTCCTAGAATAAATACTGACAGCTATTGAAAATAAAATGGTATCCTTTTAGGAAGACCGGTAAAATATCAGTTGGTGAATTTAAAATTAAGTGACCGTGAAGAATATCTCCAAATCTTTAGAAATGTTAAAGCGCTTGGAAGTAGCTTTAATTCTTTACATCAGAGAGTAGAGGTTTACAAGAATTCACTAGAGAGTAGAGGTTTACAAGAATTCACTAGAGAGTAGAGGTTTACAAGAATTCACTAGAGAGTAGAGGTTTACAAGAATTCACTAGATAATTATAACGATTGACCAAAATGAAATTGCACTTCCCAAGGATGCTTGCTTATTAAATCAAGTACAAGATTCTAAAAAATAATTGTGTCCAGAAAAGCTGTCTTGACGATTTAGTTAAGGTGACCTAAAATATTACAAATTGAAATATAGAATTAAGAGTCGTGCTCACATAATAATGTTTCAATCATATGTATATTGATAGTATTTTTAGAATCTCAATTTTGCAAAAAATTAAGATATGAACTTAAATCATTTAATTTCTTTAAAATAATTGATTCTCATTGGATAAAAAAAATTCTTTTGATAACTGCATCAATAGAATCTGGAGTTCACTTGTACGTAGCAGCTGGAACTATTTTGGCTGACTTTATATATTTCCCGTTCCAGAGTACTTTGTGAAAGAAAAATGGAAATATTTTTTTACTATTTTCCTGAAGTTCAAAACTTGTCCGACATGTTTCTGAGTTATTTTCTACTTTCCTTTTTTTTTCGAATTATCTCCTTTGTTATACAAATCAGATTGTCTGCATGACAACAATGCAGTTACGGGAAAGAAAGAAATCATCATACATATCTAAAGTGTCTGTATGACTTGTATGAACAATAGAACTGTGAAGAAAGATTATGCTTCTAAAGCGGGAAATTGCTGTTAATCTGCTAATTCTAAGAAAAAGTATGCATGAGAAAAACGACACTGAGCGAGAACATAATTCCTAAAGAGAGTTTGCAGGGTTGTTTGGAGTAGTTTCCCTTACATTTGCGAAACTTAAAATATCAGTTTACCCGGTAAAGTTCGAAGTACCTGCATACCTAACGGGATATAACAAAAGGTAATAATATAACTGGTAAAGTCATTTTTGTGTTATTGTTAAAAACTACTAGTACTTGTGCATATTGTTTGTTCGTTATGTATTACTCCGCGTATGAATATTTAGGTTATATATTATCAAAGTTTAGCTGTATGTTCGGCAATCATTTGTAGTCATGTTGATTCTCATCACTGGAAGATAAATATTTAATGATACAATGTATAAGAAATATATCTTGTAAGTTTTTCCTTGATCCATGTATCAAAGCAAATTTGGACGGAAAACTTTTTCATGCGATAAGATTCATTTCTAAAGAAAATAATGTAAACTTCTGTTTAGTAATATCATTGATTAAAATAAACGTGGGAATGATTTCAGATATTGAATGACAGGACCTAAATTAGCTCATATAGAACAAATCTTATAAATTCTTAGATTTAATCACAAATGCTGGATCTATTTCAAATTGATTTTTTTTAATGTTGCAAAACAAATTTTAGTACCTACCTAGCCTTATCTAATTACTGTGGAGATTCAGGAATGACTACCAGAATAGCTACCAATTAAAATATTTCATTTTTGATGCCTGTAAAGATCAGTTGTTTTTTAAATAATAAAAAGCTTGCATGAACATTGAAAAAATAAAAGATGAAAATTCTCAGAAAGTAAGTTGTCTTAGAAATGTCATGAAAACCCTTCGATGACACAGGAAACAAGCATTCTGAGAATACTGCATAAGCAATACCAGTTGCTTACCTGCAAATCTAATGCGGCTCACATTAAAAAAAAATTAAAATGGCCGTAATTCCATCAAAAAAATCATGGAAGCGGAACGAAATGCAAACTTGATCTGTAACTAATCAAGATTGACACTCGTATTAAAAATTAGCTTTGACCTCAACGCGTGTAGAATATAAGTGTGGAAACTCAAGTGGGACAGAGTGACAGACAGACAGACAGAGACGGATGGGCAGACGAAGAGGAAACTTATAGTCTCCACTTGTTTCACGGGTAGAGGAGAGCTATTTTGTGAAAATAATTTTTAGTACATGGTAAACAACTTTAAACGATTTATCTTTCTGGATAATATGATGCAGAAAATTTCAGTAATGCTGAATCGAACTTACAATAATATAAACTATAACGTTATGCACGCTCCAACCATTTCAGAAAATAGGGGAGGGGCATAAGGAATAAAAATTTCTATGAAGGTTGTCGATTGGAGAATTTTGAATCGATAAAACAGCAAATCTCTTTAAATGTGACAACAAACATCAAAGATGATTTAGAAATTTCATCTACCGGCCTGTGTTAAGAATGATCGTAGTCTTGATTTTACACATAAAGTGACCATTTTCATCCTAAGAAATATGTTAAAAATTATCATAATATGGACTTCATTTGTAAACTCTCTGCTTTTACAGAGTCACACAACGATTCTGAATGTAAATAACCAAAATAAAAATGAGGAAAATTTTGTCTTCAATGCAACTCACGTTATATTACAAAGTATACTTCTGTGTGGGACTGGGGTCGTGTGCGATAAGTCTATTCTGACGACTCTGGATATTCCGAATGATTCAATAACTTCTACTAGATGTCCAGAATGTTCCTGTTCAGACTATTGTTCCTCCAGCGCTAGCTACCCTCGATGCTGTCCAGACTTGTTCTTCAGACACGGATTTCTGGAATGCAGAAGCAGGTCCATTCTTAATTCAATGTACTCAGAGTCAGTTCTTATGATTGCATCGTGTCCAGTTGGTACCAACATTGATTTATCATCAAACTGCTCAAAACTTCGAACAAAAGAGGATCACCTACAGAATCCACCTGTTGAAAACATACCAAATGGAATTATTTATCAAAACAAATTTTGCGCTTTTTGCCATAATGATACTGATACCGAGCCATGGGAGCTATATTTCAGATGCCCTGAAATCACGGATTTCAACTATTTTTCGTCGTACAATGAAATATTTGCTGTAGCAAGGTCCAGATCATGTGGTATCAATTTGATCGGCTCTCATGCTATGTATTGTGATACAAATAATTTTGACAAAATTGCATCTTGTAATGTTACGGGATCCTGGAGGCGATATGATAAGCAAATAGATTTGTCCTGCCGTCTTAGTGGGTATTATGCCCCAGTAGGAGTATTTAGAAATATATTTTGCAAAATGTGTAACCCACCTCCCTATGAAGAACTTGCTATGAAAAAGAAATGCGAACATCCAGGCATATTTAAAAATGCATGTTTAAATCAACCTCTTTTAGAAGCTTCCTTTCCTTACAAAAATTACTTTTGTTTTGCTTGTTCCCATGGCGATAACAATACTAACTTCTACAATGATGTCAAGTTTTCTTATGCTAAGGAATACTATCAGGATGAGCTTTTTGAATTAACAATTGGATTTGAATACGTTAAAGGGCATGTTCAACAATATCTGCAAGAACTTAGTGCGATGTCGATCATACAATGGAACATTTCTACAAAACAAACAAAGGAAACTGAGTCTTCAACGTCGATAGAAATGATAAATTTGCCTAAAGCTAGATATGCCTGTGCACCTACAGCAAATATTGAAACTTTGAGTTTTGATCCACCAACTGAATATCACAATGACATCCAATACTCTATTAACGTTACCAATCTAGTTTACACGAGCTTTGCTTTGTCCAGGAATGGTGCATGTAAACCGTGGCTATTACCAAGCTACACGTTACCTTTACAAAAGAACTGTTCCTGCACTGTAGGATGCACGACGAATTGCTGTGACGATTTTGCAATGAAACAAAAATGGACATGCATTAGTGATCGTTATACCGGAAGTCTACATGATACGGTGAAAAACTTTCGAGCGATTGGTGGATGTCATCAAAGAATGGAATACGAAGATTTTTGTACAAATAGAAATTTTTCTCATTTTTATCACATGTTTCCAGTGAGTTTAACACGTGACAATAAGGAGGCTTACGCCAATTTATTTTGTTACTTGTGCGGAAAAATCCTAGCTAGTGAGATTGATTACAATGCAACTTATGACACAGAAGATGTACTTCCATGGTCGTTAAAAGTTAGTTGCCCGATCTTTGTAAATTATAGAAATTTTCAATCTTTGCAGCAACTGATTAGTTATTTAAAGGAGAGCTCTTGTGAGATGGGTTTCCAACCACCTAACGACGCAGAAAAGTGTAGCGGCGTATGCATTGCAAAAATATCATCATGTAACGTGTCTGGTATGTGGTACACATATAATGAAGATGTATTGAAGGCATGTGAAAACACAGACGTCTTAACATTTCCACCAGTTAAGTTTAGATCAATTGTTTATAAAAACAGATTCTGTCTGATTTGTAATCCTATTGAAATACACCTTCCTCAGACAAATCAATCCTGCGCGCTACATGAAAATTCTAATCTAACCAAGGCTTGTCTGCAGTTTCCTAATATCCATGTTTGTTCTGGATACAAAAACATTTTTTGCAAAATGTGTAATGACGTTAATGTCTCTGACTGTGGTGATGTTGTTTCCAGAGAGATCAGTCCTACCACTACTCCCTTGACAACCACAGTTCCACCATACAAATGGTCGTTTAGATCCTATTTCTCGATATCTGCATATGACCAGTCTGATATGATTTCTGATGCAGACTTATACAGCAAATGTTTGCCAAACCAGATGTATGATAGTAGCCAGGTAATGTTCTCATTTTTGCCCCTATTTTTCATAGGGGAGGGGGGTACATTTCCAACTTTTTGACAATGATTAATATTCTTATTTGTATTCTGTAAAATCATTATTGAAAATTATTAACTTGCTTTCTCTGTTGCAGAAAACATGTAGAAATCTGACTTGTTTTCCTGGCAAGACACCGTTGAACGACACGTGCGTATCCTTACTAGCATCCACTGACAACTTGCGATACACTCTTCCAATCAAAATCAAGCTAACAACTTTTATGTTTAACAATGTTTCACTCAAAGAATTAATGCTTAAATTAAAAACAATCATAGAAACATCAGTTACTCAAAAAATAACTTCAAACCTTTATTTTGAAAATTTCATTTTAATGACGTCATCTAGGTGTACTATCGAGAACATAACACGTGGTCAATTTTTGTTATATTTACAATTATTTTTTAAAAATAATGTTATCCGAGATGATTTAGAGAAAAAACTTATAGAATTCACCCAGATGTCTGTTAATTGGACTCTTTCGCACGGCATTGTTGTTAACGTAGAATTTTCTATAAATGAAGCAGCTCTAATGTTGCCCTATTTAGTGTGGAGGGTTCACAAACAGTCACAGTGCATTATTTTATCTGACAGGAAGAAATGCGGCGATGGCGTGTTCAAAAATGTTCTAGTTAGCCCTCTTTTGACGTGCAAACAAATTGTGTTGAAAGGCTGTGAATTTGGGGTACCCTGGACAAAAATTCGAACCAAGTTTGCATATTTAGGACTGTCTCTATCTTCTAATCACTTCGAAGCTGATGCCACTGTTGAGTTAAGGGTATGTGCCTCTGACATTTCAATCTATAAAGAGACATTGAAAGTAATGGGATTGATAGACGAAGGTCTTCCATTGTCCTTGCTAACACTTAGTTGCGTGTGCGTGTCTCTTTTGTTCCTATTGCTAGCGTTTACAACATATTGTCTATTCCCTAGCCTGAGAACACTTCCTGGAATTAACAATATGATCTTGGTGTTTTTCCTGTTTTTAGCACAGGTGTTGTTGATTGTCAGACCATTTTTTCATTCTACAGGTATGGTTATAATGTCAGTTTTATCCCATTTATCTTGGCTCTTGCTGTTCTTCTGGCTTCAGGTTTGCTCTTTTCACATGTTCCGTGTCTTCAGACAAGATCGCCGTACCGAAAATTCAGATAGATACATTAGAAAAACAATTACTAAGTATTTCTCGTATGCTTTTGGTAGTTCCTCATTTATTGTTTCTTGTAATTTAATTATATCTTTGATACATTCGAATGGCGACAGCACTGGCTACGATAAAGCGTCATCTTTAATGACGCACAAAATTTCCTTCATAGTGACGCTTATACTGCCCCTAACTTTGATCTGCCTGACAAATATTATGTTTTATATTTTGACGGCTTATAAAATATACTCGTCACCAGACATTGAAAACACATCCGGAAATAGGATTCAATTTACTGTTTATGTGAAGTTGTTCTCTTTGACTGGACTATCTTGGCTTTTACAGATTGTAGACACATTTGTTGAAGTTTCCATCTTGTCGTATTTTTTGGCCATTCTCAATGGTTTGCAAGGTTTCTTTATATTTCTCAGTTACGTATGCAACAAAAGAGTATGGGATTTGTACAAGAAAGCATGTGGCAGTTTTATTTCTGACCAGTCTAGAACATCTTCGGGCATGGTAACTAATTCAAATGAAAAGTAAGCTTTGAAATCCTATACAGGTGTAATCATTCATTTACAAAAATTATTTATTCAACAATATTTAGAAAAGTAAATTCAATTATTTTGTTTAGAATTTTTTTGGCTCATTAATTCTGTTGTAGTTAGTTCAATATTTGACACTCTTCTACATTCCTTGCGAATTTTAACAGATTTTAATAGTTTAAAAGTTTTAAAAGTTGATTTTCTTTGAATTTTCACGAAAGAATTGAAAGAAGAGTTTTTCTGGCTCGAGAAATTTGCTTTTATTGGTGTCGTTTTACGATTATTATACAAAATCGAGAGAATCAAAGGTTGATGCAAGTTATTTGTTGTTGTGCTGATGTCTTATTGTCCATTGTCATATTCTAATTGTTTGTTTTTAAACAAGATCACGTATATTCGGAAATTACACCTCGACTTTGTTGAAATAAGGACCCTAGGCCTGTTACATGTGCTTGAAATCATTAATTATCGAATTGATTTTCTATTGGATAAACGTCGTAGTGTTAATAATCTGATAATATTTCTATATCATCTGTTTATGATTTTTTTCTACAATTCTGTTGTCAAAAGGGTAACGTCACAGAAACATCATATTCACAATTATATTTTCAGAACTATTTATGAACAATTTATAATAATTTTACTGTGTTTGAATGAATTTATTATTTTACACATATTGTTAACCATAAGGCTAAAAATACATTTCAAATTTTTTCATTGTGTCAAATTCTTTAAAAAATTGAATTATAATGATTAAGACTGGAAAATTGGAATCTACAAAATTTGATTCATGTGTAGCTAAGATTATTTTAAAAACTTCAAAACAAGTTGCCTCAAGTAAAATCGAAAAATATAAATTATATTGTAGGGAATTTTGTTTTCCAAGCTTTAACAAAATATTTAATGTTTGCAGACGCTTTTTTGAGTATAATGCACTTTTTTTTATACATATAAAAACATTATATTGTGTATAATTTTCAATGTCTTGTATCACTCTCTGTTTTATTACATGTACATACACATATACTTTTCAACGACTTGCTAACGTTTGACAGTTCAAAAGAGAAAGTGTGTTTTTCTAGTGTTGGATGTATAATTTACTAGTATAAATCAGGCTGCTTATTTAAATTGCAAAATATGCTTTGTATTTAGAGAAAATTAGGGTTAAAAGCGGGATTTTGTTTATGGTTTAAATTATGCTAACGGTAAAGAGAGAAATCGGTATAAACATGTGGTTGCTACCATGTGTTAACTTTTTTCCAATTATAAACTTTGCTTTCACAACCACGCAGTTCTCCTTTCGTGTTAACGGTATGAATTTATTGACAGCTTTTTATGTTCTACTCTCTAAGTTCGTGTCTATAATTGCATACGATGCAAGTACAGATATCTACATATACAGTTTATTTATTCTTTGAACGTTTCTCTTGAATATTTCATTTCGACGTATCATTGAGGTATATAATCAAGGATACGGACGTCTTCAGCGCAAGGGTTTTTTTTTTCGCCGAAACGCATAAAATCCTTCATTGTATAATGGGAGAAAAAGGATATATGTCTATTGAAAATTTCAATAAGAAAGGTACAAGACTCTGATATAACAGTTTATGAACTCTAACTGGTTATGGAACCTTAATTTTTGATGTGTAATGAATGTCCCTCTATTTATGTTGTAATTTGCAAATAAATGCTTTGAGTCAATTTGTGTTTATTATATATAAAACTAAAGCGTTTCAAGGAACACATATGTCGCCTGCTCTTTAGCATCATTCAGATTTAAATAAATCAAAAGGTATTTGCTACTAGCATAAAAGTTCAGGCATAAATCTGCGAAGAATAAACAAGGCGTTTCTGACAAGACTGAAGCTCTGCTGGTTTGTGCAATTAACAAAGGGAGAGAAAAGAGGCCTTTGAACTTGAAACTTGGCAACAGCATTAAAAGAATAATGATCCTTGGTTAAGTGTCTTTTTGTAGCAGGTTATCTTTTGCAATCAGACTAAAACTGCGTAGAAGGAGTAGCCTTTCGAAAAAAAAAATAAAAAACTTTCTATTTTTAGTAACCAATTGCAACAGAGTTCATCAAAATAATTTTTAAAAAAGATAAAGAAAATTTGTATTTTAATGTGCTCTACTTGCATGCCAAGTTATGTGAAAATCAGACCAAAACTGAAGAAGGCGTAACGCTTTGAAAGTATTTTAACGAAATTTCTAGTTTTTAGTAACAATGGTAACACTTTATCGAAATCAACAAAACCAATTTATATAAAACCAAAATCTGATATAATTTAAATTGTTTATTTCCCTTTTGAGAACTACTCAGCTTTACACACCATCATTGTTATATACATACAATGCATACACAGTGAACACTTGCAAAAGATGAAATGTTTTAACGTATACATGTAAGTGGCCGATAGCCTTGGGCATGCTTGTGACCGATGGCCTTATATGTTTTGCCGATGGCTTTGTATGGTTGGTCGATGGCCTTGAATGATTGGCCGATGGACTTGTATAATCGGTCAATGGCCTTGTAACTGAAGAAGGTCGATGGCCTTGTGTATGTGTTTGTGGCCGATGACCTTGTGGAAATCATATGTACCATGTATGCTGAAAAATGCCATTTCTTTGGGGTTGAATAATACATGACATAAATACACGTGTGAAATGCTCAAAACGAAGGTAGCACAAACAAGATAATCTATGTGTTTGAGATAGCTGAGAGTTCCTAAAAGAAAGTGTACCACCATAATTCTTAATTTGATAAACATCCTCTAAAATACAAAAAAAATTACTAGGAAGCAAAACACACAGACACACACAGAGAGAGAGAGAGAGAGAGAGAGAGAGAGAGAGAGAGAGAGAGAGAGAGAAAGCTTTCAAAATTTCCATATTACTGTATAATAAAGTAGCAAACAAATATTGTCTAGTTGAAAACTTAATGCATGGAATTCCTGCATTAAACATTGGTTTATGGTTTTTAACAATGATATTCCAATGAAAATCTTTTATTTATCATAAATTTTCTCTGGTGAAAAGTTCTTGAATTGAATATATTTCGGATTGAAAAGTTAGGATGTCTGTGAAACATCCCATAATAACTGCAAACAAAATACCATATCTACTTTTAAAATAAAAGAACTCTATTACACATTGGTTTATGATTTCGAAAATAACATTTTAATATCCTACATAAAAGTTCTTAGTTGATCATGTTTATTGTTAAATATAAACAATAATGCCTAGGTAATATAGGTTTTAACAGGAGGTCATAATTCCAATTCCAGTTCTATTTACAACAGTGCACTATTACTTAAGGCCCTTTCACAATTGGCGCACGAGCACTTTACAATACTTTGCGATCGGAATGTTTTAGCTTCGCACGAGCTCTCGCATACGTTGCACGATGTCTCGCATTAGTTGCATGCGTTTTAGTGGTCGCATCAAGTCTCCTCAAAATAGTCGACATGCTCACTATTCAGACGCGACCGAATGCGATTCAAATTATCGCAATGCAGCGCACGAACATTAGTACGAACGTCTTACAACGTTTTATGTTCTCGCAAGAGTGATGCACGATTTTTAAAGGTCATAAGATGAATCGCAGCTGTCTATGCGTGTGTTTTGCGAATATGAGACTGTTGCTCAACGTCTCTCGTGTAATCTTGCAACGTTTTACTATCATTGCATAATTTATCAGCCTCAATTTGTCATGCTTTGGCACTAGTATATATAAATTGTATGAGCATCTTCTCTCACATTCAACTATATCAACTGAAGGGCTTCGGAAACGACCGGTTCATATACCCCCTCTGACTCGCACGAGCATTCGTACCATGGAACGCATGAGCGCGCGAGCGCCGAACGTCCAATCGCATTGGCGCACGTTCAATCGTCCAATTACCTGATCACTCGCGCGATCCGATCGCATTATCTTTCAATACTCGCTTTCATTGTACAACAGTCGCATATAGACGCAAGATATATCGTAAGATTTAATGCACAACGGTCGCTTTAGATCGCGCAAATTTCGTACGAATACTTTTTCATATGCGATTATTTTGGCAACAGTTTACGATCCAAATCAAAAATTTTCTGTCGCACGAATATTTTGTTGCTTATGATCGTGCGCCAATTGTGAAAGGGCCTTTAGCGGATTACATAAATGAGAAGTGATTGATTGATTACTGTTTAACACAGAGTCGGCAATATCTCAGCCATATTTCGGCGAATAACTTGAAATTACATACATTTGATTAATCATAATCACTGCATATGACGTATCAAATCCGTTGTTTTCCTCCCTTTTAACCAACATGGATTTCACTTATTTATACAAGATACAAGATTTATTAGTCCAATTTGGGCCCCCGGAGGAGCAAAAAAGATTTACAAACATGAAACAAAGAAGGAGGAAGATCCAAATGATAGAACAAACATGATCTTAATTATAATGAGCAGTGCTTAATTGTATAATCATTGATAAATGCATCTACAAGAGATATATACGAGTATACATATTGTAATATAATAATAATATATAGTCAAGTAGCTGGAAAGATACATATATGCATATCAAAGAACAGAAGAGATGATATATAGCCATTCCTACATGTATATACATCCCCAAATATATTTAAATTTTTCAGTTAAGGTAGATTATCAAGGAATCTAGCAAGAGATCTTAGGATCTCAGGGTCTTCATTAGTCATGAGCCAAAGAAATTGATTATCATATGATAGGGACTGAAAATTTTTACATTTATTATTACAAATATTTATGAGTTCAAGTCTTTGTACACTAAAATGAGGACATACAAGGAGAAAATGAATTTCATCCTGAATCTCCTTGTGATCACAAAGGGAACAAAATCGTTCATCTTTAGGTATTTTTTGATATCGTCCAATTTCAATTTTAAGCCTGTGAGCTGATATTCGTAACCTAGTTATGACTGATCTATGTTGATTGTTTGTTAAAATATCTAGATAGGGTTCAAAACA